ACGATATTATACGCTCTTTGATTGGTCATTTTGAAGTGTGCACTTCAAAATAACTCTTTGCAATATAAAAAAAATAAAATTATCAATGGATAATCTTGATTTATTCTTTATTTCCCCGGAGCCTCGTCTGCAATTCTTTTGTGCATGGTCACTGAACCAAAATATCTAAACTCGGCTATTTCTCCAAGAATTTCAACGGATTTGAGTTTCAAATTAGTGTTGGAGTTTTTTTTTTCTTTAAAGTTAATTTTCTCGAAACTCATCGCAGAGATTGAAATAAAATTTTCAGAGTCATTTCTTAATAACATAATTGACAAACTGACGAAGTTTGAATGAAATCTTAACCTAATATAGCTGGCAGTATTTGTTGGTGATGGAAATTTGATTTTTTGAGCAATAACGCGTAATGTTTTAAGGAGGAAATATTCTTTTACGTTCCGAAATGAAGTTGTTTAAATTTCTAAAATATACTAGTTGCGTAAATGGCAATAACTTTTTTCTTAGTAAACTAATGGGCATGTGCCTTGGACAACAGTTGTACGAAAGATTAAGCTTTCAAGCTATAGTAGTTTTTTCATTTAACATTCGAATATTGTCACAAACGAGGACTTTAAACATGTCCTCATCGTTTTGAGAAACATTTTGAAATGCTCAAATATCTCGAAAATTTAGGTTAAGATTTCATTCAAACCTCGTCAGTATGTCAATTATGTTATGAAGAAATGGCTCCGAAAATTTTATTACAATCTCTGCGATGAGTTTTGAGAAAATTGACTTCGAAGAATAATGAAGGTGTTTTTCTTTTGCATTGATTATCCAAATAGCTTCGATTTTTTTGGCAAATTAATCTATAAATAAGAATACTCCCTTTTCGAGTTCTTGGGGTTCGTTTGGAAGACCCTCAAGTCCAGACGAATCACTAACGAACGATAAGGGAACTCAAACAGATTTCGATTCAAGCTCAGGTAACTTGGATGAGCATAATTATTCCTTCTCTTTTAGAGTCAAGACTGATACTTTTGGTGAGCAAAAAGAGTACATAAAGAGACTTGAAGAGAAGATTGAAGAACAATCTCTTCATATCAACACACTGAAGCAAGAAATAGGATCCCTTAAAAAGCATATACATGAATATGAACAAAAGAAATTCAGTCTAGAGAAATTTAAAGACGAGGATAGTGCCATAAGTTTCTATACAGGATTCCCAAACTATGAAGCTTTAATGGCTATGTTTGAATACCTTGAGCCAAAAGCCCCCAAACTACAGTACTGGAATGGGCAGTATGGTCCTGATAGTCGCAGCTACCAGGACAATCCACAGTCGAAACCTGGACCGAAAAGAAAACTTACTAGCCTACAAGAATTTTGGATGGTACTCGTTCGACTTAAAGTTGGTCTATTTGTTAAAGACCTGTCGGACAGATTTGACATATCTACAGGACACTTCTCCAAGATTTTCACTACCTGGATAAACTTTCTATTTGAAGAAGTAAAACTGATCTTCCCCTTTCCCTCGCAATCTGATGTGCTACGCAATATGCCAGTAGAGTTTTCTCGCTACCCAAGAACAAGGGTCATTATTGACTGCACAGAAGTATTTATTGAAGTGCCATCTTCATTGAAAGCACAGTCAGAAACATGGTCTAACTACAAGCTCCATAACACATTCAAAGTGCTTGTAGGCGTATCACKAAATGGCCAAGTTATATTTATTTCTAGTTTGTGGGGAGTATTATKGATAATCACTTATACTTCTGTGAAGATTTGAGTGCAATCGAATCAAAATTTTCGACGTATAGTTGGAGTTTAAAAATACGCGCGAAACGCTATATATTACGATCGAAACAKCTTCAGTGATCATCGTTTTGAACTGGGAAAGGCATATCAATTAATGAGTGGAAAAATCACTGAACAGATTATACTAACCGATGAATCCCGTTTGTGCCCGCCAGCAGCCAGCTTCATCACAACGAGATTGGTTTTCGTTACCTTGAGAAGAAGAGCGACCTGACAGATCAAAGTAACATTATAAGTAAACCTTTCCAGCTAGTRAAGAWCAGATTCATGAAGTGTCGTGTACAGAATTGTAGAATATGCACAAAACACTCTAAGAACGGATAAACGTCAAATACCTCTTCGTGTAGGTTTGATACAAGTTCAAAGATCTGCTTTGCTTGGTGGAAGGAATTTGCGGACAGAACAAAAAGATCGTGTGCCTAAAAAAATATCAAGTCATGAACGGCTGATGAGGACACTTTACACTTGTGCACCGTGTTGTAGAGGCAAGTTTTTATTCAAGCAATAAACAATATTTTCGTGCGTTCCTGGTGAAGTAAACCATGCTGGATGTTGGGAGTACACGAAAAAGCCTTTTGAGCGTTTTCCCAATATCCCGCGTCGTTTATTTCACCAGGAACGCACGAAAATGTGTTGTTTAATAACATTTGACCAATCYGAGAGCGCGTACTATRATAGCTATAATACAATTAGATTTGAGTCAAACTCGATCTTGATTACAATAAGTATCGATGTGACTAGACACTAGTGATAGATTACAAGTGCAACAATGCTCTACAAGCCTATTTATGGGTTAGAGACTGAAATGAGTGGTTTGTTTACAAATACACGCACGCGCTGGCTGTGAAATGAACGAGAAATTGTCAATACTGCACGAAGCGAAGCTGAGTGCAGTATTGACAATTTCGAGTTCATTTCAGAGCCAGCAAGTGCGTGTATTTGTAAACAAACCACGAATTTTCAGTCTCTAACCCTTTTAATATTCAATCTGAGTTCAATGAAATACAAAACCTTTTAATACAGAAGAAAAGGTTAATGTTAAACCAATTTACACGAAATAATGATAACGGCGAATCTCCTCCAAAGACGCTGCTTTCGTAGCACTTCTTGATGTCCTCTGGTTGAATGGCCGGATGATGTTTTACTTTTGACGAGGCGCTCTCTTTGATTTTCTTTACTTTTGCATTCAAAGACATGTTAGCCGTCTTGAAAACAGGATGGTGATTATCGAAAAGGTCTTTCCGACTTTCTCTGATGTCAGGAAGCGGTTTATTGCAGCTCTAATAGAGARGTGAGCAGAGCGACTGTARAGTCTTTCCCTTCGTTTTTCAACTCTTGATAGAACTTTGCGAGTCGTTCAGCTAGTTTTTCTTTTTCCAATATTTCTAATTGTTCACTTGGMTACCTCAAGTGCAACCATTCTAAATTAAAAATAGATAAATACAGACATTTCACAATAGTTTCAAACAAAATAGTTCATTATTTCAGTTCAGAATTGACATTTTAGTTTGACAAAGCTACAAACACAGTCAAGTGAACGTGAGTTTTAAAATAAACAACAGTTAAGTCAGCGTAAAACATAATATTATTTGAATTTTATATCTCTAGTATTACCTTTAAAAAGAACAACACCCCATGTTGTCTGTCGCTTTGTATTAGCTGGCCATGGTATAGAGTTCTCTATAATCTTTGAAATGTCATCTTCTTCAACACTTGCAAACCTACCAGAGTCGGTCATTTTGATGACAGCCGTTGTGTGATAGCATGATGTATTCTCATTAGTGCACGGTCACTAGGTGTTGACGTGACGTATCGCACAATCACGTGATTGATTTAAGCCAATCGCGCGCATGGATTTAGTACATTGAATGAAGATTGAATATTAAATAGAGTTATGGCATGAATTGCGAGAAGGAAGCATTGAGTCACACTTGCAAAAAAGGGGGACGGGAAGCCAGCTCAAAAGCTGCGAGGGTGATCCAAACCATAATCAGGCTTGTTACGGTCCGCTTGGTCGACTTCCTTCCGCCCGTCCTCCCGCTTCACCGTTAATTTATTATTGTGTACTCTATATAGTCAATGTTACGCATGGTTGCACATRAAATAGTATGAACAGTTTAGTTGGCCTTAGAGAAGTGATGTTAWTATTGCATGTGTATAATAAACTTAGGTTAATGGATAACTATGTAAATTCTGTACCTTTTATATATCCTATATTGTAGGGATCGTGTGATACTTACAGTTTTATCGTCGCTCGACCCTCCCTACCCTCCCAAATAGCGGYTTATCTGTGCTGCTACGTCACGATCTCTTGCCTCGCGGGTCTACACACTAGTCTAATAAGAGGTATGAAACACCGGTCACGTGATGGATCGATGTGTGCACCAGGTAGATGGGATGGTCTTCGGGAAACGAAGATTCGATAAATAGTCGAACAGTCGGCGAAGATAAGACYAAATACTATGACGTATGAATTTTGTTCGTCAGCACCCTTCCTCACGCAAAAGCTTTGCGTTTTTTTCACAGTGAGAAGTGTTTAGATAAAAATTTAAGACCTCGCAAAACGAATAGTGAGCTAAATACTCCAACTSTGTCATTATTAACACAATTGAGAGCAGAAATCCACRTCGAGGGATTYATTTTCCGGCATGGTAAGAATAAATTTAATAAGTAGACCTTTCCTCAGGAATTTTTAAGCAAATGTAAGTTTTCCCTGAACCAGCCCTGCCACCTACAAAAACATTATGGCCAGACAAGGTCGACCTAGTTTAATCAAGGAAATATGTGAAAGTAAATAAGTACGATTTTGTTTGAGACCAACGAGGCGACTGTATTGACAGRCTTTAGTGAAACAGTGCCGTGACGTCATCATCAGAATCAGGTCGACTTGCTCCAAGTCTCTCMCGCTATTTACTATCGAGCAACGACAAATTTCTCAAACGAACGAAGAAGAGTAACGAGCCCGACGATGAGAGAAGCGAGAAAGACTTGAAAAACTGTTCACTTCATCAGTATTTAATAAACTAAATTTTTTCACGTATATATTTAAGCTTTTTTTAGTTTCATGTTTAAGGAATTAAAACACGCTTTTTGACCAATCACAGCGCGTGTTATATACCGATTATTTTGGAAAATTATTAACCGATTAAAAAAACCTGTCTTTTGTTTTATAAGAATTCAAACATTCTATAAATGTCAGTGGGCCAGATCTACCTCTGAGCTCATAAATATTGAAGAGTTGAAGAGTTTTACAAGTCTGTCTCACTTTTGGCTTCTACCTAGAATGACTTTTGTAAGGAAAACCATTCGTCGCCCATGAGTTAACAGCGAGTCTCGAGGGACCTTGAGTCCTAGACCCTGGTAGAAGAAACATCAACTAACCTTAGCATCTTGGTTCTTAGACATGTCGGTGAATTCCTTGTAGTGACCATAATACATTGGCTGTGGAGTATCGACGGCTTGGAATGGTAAAAAACGACGTTCGAAACGAATCTGAAACGATAGACAATCATAAGTGTGCTTATGAAAAAAACATGCATTCGCAATGTGCACAGACGTCATCTGCAACAAATTATGATGGGAGTCCACCAAAGAATAGTCCCACCAAAACGTTTTGCTGTTTCTTTACAGAAATTGATCACGTGACATGATGAAGTGCGAGAGGTGCACCTCCCATCATGCTTTGCTGATCAACTGACCTGTTCTGAACCAAATTCAAAATTTGGTCGTTTTAATTTTCCATCGATTTCAAACCCCTCCAGTGACTACAAGAAATACAAAATCAGTTGTAAGTAATTGCCATTAGTTTTGAAATGACACTGTTTTGAYAGAAACGGACAAATTAAAAAAAATTCTTTAAAGACAAAAACAAATGTAGGAATAAAAACATCAGTAAATGCAGTCACTAATGTATGTAGTCATTATTTCGGGTGAATCACGGATAATTCAATGGGAATTTCTCTCCTTTCTTGCTAAATAAGATGAGAAAATAATTGAAATAACATTAAATTAGAGTTAATTAAACAAAATTGCAGTGTTTGATGGTAAATAAAAGGACTGACTTCGAGGTATCAGCCACCCTATATATCCGTATATGTTAGCGGTCAGAGTAAAGACCAGAATCAACTACATGAATACGTCAATATGGCTTACCCTGAGATAACCTTGACAAAGATATCTCATGCCCTGGTACAAATGACGCATTCCCTGGTGTTCTTGAATTGCTTTCTCACTTGCTGATAAAATATAAGGATTCTTGTAATATATATCGTATACATCTACAATTTTCATTTTCAAAAAGGTTACAATCATCGAAGACCGACGTAGATTTGGGTTGGAACATACAGCTATTTCAAAAAACATTGTCCGGGAGAACCTCGAACGGCTATTGTCGAACGCGCGACAACCGACCGAAAATTGTGACGCTGTTTTGACAAACATAGAAATGGAGAAAAATGGAGCCAATGTTTACCACAGACTATTCTACAGTATAAATCAGTTGTTATTCACACTCAATAACGAAAACCCATGGCTACTTTCGGTCGTGCAATCACCGTTAGATAATTGACATAGCCATTTTATGTTAATTGACATAGCCATTTTAAACGTTAGGCAAATCGATTTAAACAAAAATCGTCGGAACAATCGTAACTTCAATTAATAGAACAAGAAAAATGAAAAAAAGACCAAAATAATACTGTTCGACAAGGTTGTGTATACACAAGCACGGCATTTTGAGTTTTTTCGATTGCCTGACGTTTAGCTCCAGAACTAAACGTTAGGCAAATCGATTTAAAAAAAATCGTCGGAACAATCGTAACTTCAATTAATAGAGCAAGAGAAATGAAAAAAGACCAAAAGAATACTGTTCGACAAGGTTGTGTATACACAAGCACGGCATTTTGAGTTTTTTCGATTGCCTGACGTTTAGCTCCAGAACGAAACGTTAGGCAAATCGATTTAAAAAAAATCGTCGGAACAAACGTAATTTCAATTAATGGAACGAGAAAAATGATAAAAAGACCGAAATAATGATACTGTTCGACAAATTTGTATACACAAGTAAGGCAGTTTGAGAATTTTTTTTGTCTGACGTTTAGATCCAGAACTATAAACGCCTCAGGCAATCGATTTATTATGGAATAAATACTACCAAACTTTTAGTTATGCGTGACACTCCGGGCTGTTTGAGAACATAGCAAACTTCATATTAGCTTTAAAAAAGTAACAATTTAACAATTTTACCACACTTAGTGTGTCATTGACACGACATACATTGTGCTGACACCATCACGTCTCGCGCGCGCGCTCAATTGAAAGAAAAGAATGATTCTCGCTAATTTTTAGATTGGAAAGTGTCAAAAAAAAAAAGAAATTGCACACGCTGCGCTCGTGGGTCTTGAGTTTTGAACATTTTATGACGTCAAGAGTTCAATAAGAGGACATACAACTCAAAACCATTGCACATGATTTCAAGTTGTATGTCCTATTGGAACACTCTTGACATCATACAATGCGCTTGTGGTTTCACTGCAAAATTTTATGACACCGACAGTGTGAGGATATACAATGAAAAACCCTGTATAATTTGATTTTTTACCATATTTAGGTTTAACAATAAGTACATTAMTTTCTTTCAACCGAGCGCGCGCGCGGAACGTGATGTTGTAAGCACAGTGTGCAAGTCCTCTTCTTGATAAACTCATACCGAACATCAAAACCAGTAAAGTATTCTTATCGATAAATATCCAATAATATTATTCCATATTAAYTTGATTGCCTAACGCGGTTTAGTTTTTTCAGGACACACCGTCAGGCTATCGGAAAATCTCAAAGTGCCGTACTTGTGCATTCAACCTTGTCGAACAGTATCAAAACAAGGGCGGATCCAGGATTTTTCAGAGGGGGTTGGCTAATATTAAAATTTAATATTAAAGTACGTTTAATAGTACAATTAATAGTACAATTTAGTACAATTAATTTGACTCTTTAGMCTCATGTGAAATTATTGTTTTCTCGGGCACACGTATAATATTTCGGACTTTTCAACAAACTTTTATATAAAAGATATATTTAAGAAATATAAAACGGCGCGCGTGTCTCTGTCCTCTGATATAAACACGGTGGGAGTTCGAAAAACACGAGAGAAGCAAGCTTAGGAACACGAGCGTAGCGAGTGTTTCTCTTGTTTCTCGAGTGTTTTTCAACTCCCACCGTGTTTATATCAGAGGATAGAGACACATAAGCGGCCGTTTTATATTTCTTTTATAAAATTTTTCGAGCGAAAAGAAAATTTTGCCGGTAAGCCGTGTCTCTGTCCTCTGATATAAACACGGTCGTCAGCCAATCAGAGCACGCGTTATATATCAAAAATTTTATAAATGAATATATAAGCATCAGTTACATCAAACAGTTCTTCTCACTATTTTTTTCGAAGTATACATATTTAATCCTGTTATTTTATTTCTTTTTTCAAAACTTTAAGTCATTATATTTTTTTCAAATAAAAAAGGGGGTTGCTAGCCACCCAATCTACCCCCCCTGGATCCACCCCTGCAAAACAACAACAAAAATTCGCGATTACCTGACGTTTAGAAATTCTGATATCATAAATCTTCACTGCAAAATACCTTTCTTTTTCTTCTTATTCTTCTTCCCACTTCTACCACTCTTTTGCTCTGAAAATGAAAACACAATGACATTAAAATACACTGCATTAACGAGTAACACAGGAAAGAATACATGACCAAGTAGAGCATGTTTACCTAATGCTATCTCTTGTGCTTGCAGTAACTTCTCTGCTCTGTTCAAACAAGTCATGTGCCACCCAAATAAAAAGTCCAAATACCTGGAAAAGAGTATACCGTGATACAAAAAMCCAGGAGCACGCTAAAGTCAATGGCAAGTATCAAAAGCTATGATACCTCGTCTATCATATGTTTATGTTGTTAGTATGGACCTACCAGTAGATATAATGATATTCATAAGGACTATAGAGTTCCAGTTCAAATCCTGCAGTCAGATATTGGATCATGATGTTAAGGGTGTGGTATAATACCCATGATCCAAAGCAAGCAAAGTGCTGTCGTTGGGGTTCATACTTGGTTAATATTGAATGGAGCTCAGAATCTGCTTTGTCAGCCTAAAAGAAAAAATCATACATGTAGTGGAKTAGCCATTATCKTGGTGACTCAAACAASCACACAATATTTCTCATTATCCATTCTAATTACCTCATCTTGTAAAGTAGCAAACTCCTCCAGTAGCTGACCTAATTTGTCTCTCTGTCTGGCTCGATTGTGACCAAGTGTATGGATGACTGAATTCATGGACTATACAAAAGCACATATGAAGGATTTATAAGATGGATAATTCATGACAATTWATGATTAGGAAAACCTGGATTTTCTATATTATGTATTGTTTTCTTCTATTTGTTTACTTAGAAATAATAAATGTTAGAACAGGAGATGCAAAACAAGGTTTTTGACACATTTGAATTCACAAAAATGGCCCTCATTTGTAGTATAACAACATCAGTTTATATTTAACATTTATAACTTTTTTACAGTTTATCATAATTTAATACAACTTATTCACTGACTAGAGTATAATTAGTGGGGTGTAAGTGAATTAGAATTGTTGCATTGGAATAAGAAACAATCTATAAGCAATTGAAAGCAATTTCAGGTTTAATCAGGAATCAAACCCGTTTCAACATTTGTTCCTTAAGTATGGATGGGTTCACCCAATGAAATGACTGCTCACCAACATAGTTTGCATCAGTTGGTAGAGCAACTGCATCACAGAGGTCATGGATGGGTTCGATTCCCACTGAAGTCTGGAATTTTTAGGCTGATCCATTATTAWGAACAATTGCTTAGAAGTTTTAAATGAGATAGTTCCTCATGATAAATGTATATTTTAATACAATCTGTTAATAAAACTTATCAGTAAACTGACCCGCACAGCTCTGTTGATGAATGCCTCTGACAATTCCTTTGCTTTAGGATTGCTACTCAATGAAGATCTGAATAACATAGCAATAATTATATATCTACATGTCAAGAAAGGCAAGAAAGCAACAATCGTTGCCAAAACTACTTGGAATGACTATACGAGACGACTTAAATATAGGTCCCACTCCTGCTATTATTTTCAATAATCCCTCGGTCCCCCCTTAAAATCAATGTTACTGTATTAATGATGTATGATGAGGTAGCCTTCAAATGCATGACGACCTGCAAGGAACAGGCAACATTGAGAAGGGGGAGGCTTAAGACGTCAGTTATTTATTCTTGCGTAGRGTGAAACGCAAATAAATATCCAAACGTTCTAACAATTTTGGCAACAATTGAAYCAATAGTAGAGTAGATTGAAATARTTTTATTCAATAACATCTGGGTGACACTGACAACTTGACCTTTTTTTCACCTTCAAAAGACCAATGAAACTCATTTCACCATGCAAGAAATGACCAAAGCTCAGGTTGTCAAAAATGTCAATCACATCAAACAGGTTCCTTTTCATACATATGTTCACCCAAATTTTTAACAATCAATWGATGCTTACTTCTCAGCAATAGAGGGAGGGCTGTTGAATGCTTTGATGGCATCTCGTACTACATCACAGCCCGGTATTTTACCAAAATATTTGTTGCTTTGCCATACTATCAACTGTTATATTATATTTAACAAATCTGTTAGTTTGAATAAAATGAAYAGACTTCAATAGAAGACAAAGGAAATTAAAATCCTGTGTTTGTCATAAACAGATAATTTATAAAAGACAGTTTCATGATCTCTTTTACACTGTCTTAACCTTAATTGTGTGTAAAAATATTATTAGATAAAACTTGTGAAATTTCAAACTATTCAAATTGTGTTCTATACTCATAGAACATTAGCATTTGCACAGGCTGTTACTGAATAAAAGAAATTATATATGGTTTTGAGGCTAAGATAGAGTAGAAAAGATCACTAAAAAATGGTTTATTACAAAGTATTACAATTGTGAGTAAGGGACAAAAGCTGTACTCAATCATCCCTATTTCTTTCATTTTTAAACACAAAGATCTCCTGAAAAAAACCTCAAAATGAAAAAAAAATGGTAGGGATATTTAAGGTAAAGTACCCTTACTTTAAGTCTAAAAAGAAACACAATAAACGATAAATTCAGTGAACTAGTTTTGTTCAAACACCTCTTCAGTTCACTAATSAAAGTTCGTTACATTCACAAATAAAAACAAACAAACACTAATGGAGCACGCACACTCTGATTTAAAGTTCCATTCTTCCTTAGTGTTCATTTTTGGTTGTTCTTTGTTCATCATCACCACTTTACTAACTTGTCTGATCAGGAGGGAGTCCCTCTGATCCACTCAAGAACACTTAAGAAAAGGAAGTGCAACAAAGAAGGCTGCTATGTGTGCACAACAGGGGGGCAATACTCC